TGAACACGGAGGAAAGATTTTGAAGGAGAGGAAGAGGTCTAAAGGGAGGGAGAAGAACAACAATACAAAGTAATTAGAGAAAGGACAAAAACAATCTCCTGTTCTCTCTCTCCCATATATATATATATTATATATATATATATATATATATATATATATATGAGTGTTTTGTCTGTATGTATGGCATGCAATGTGCACAAAAGCCAGAAGAGGGCATCAGATCCCTTGGAACTTGAGTTACGGTTGTTAGCCACCGTATAGGGGCTAAGAAATGAACCCAGGTCCTCTGCAAGAGCAACCACTGCTCATAACTGCTGAGCCATCTCTCTAGCCCCAGGACCTCTTCCCTTTGTTTCCATGATCCTATTACACTGTTGATTCCTGCTAATTGGCCTGACTTCAGAAAAAGCAATGTATTGAAAAGCAAAACCACAGACAGTGGACTTTTGATCAAAAGATAGGACTACGTAGAAATGTGAAAACTGTTTAGTTCCTGAATGAAAATAGACGCCCCCCATGCATAAAATCAATTGGAGAGGACAAATGGAGAACTAAACATGTATATGTATTAAGTGTTTTTCTGCATGTTAGTTTTTATCAGTGTGTTAATAGTAAGGTCGCTTAGGAGGATGTCTTTAGGAGGTGCATTCTGATTGAAGCCTGCACTTTATTTTCAAATAACGGAATGGAAGTGCTTGGAGCACATGGAGAGAAGTGAGCAAGACAGCAACTTTGGCAGCATGCTGGCACACTGAATGAAGGCGATGGCCATTATTTTTAAACCTTTTTCCAGTTAAATTTTTTTAATTGAATATTTGAGAATTTCATATAATGTATTTTGATCATAGGTGCCCTCCCTCATCTCCATCCCTACCCTACTACCCACCCCCAACCTCAAGTCTCTATTATTCTCTATTTTAAAGGCCTATCAAGTCTATCTGTGCTTTCCCAATGCTCTTGGATATGGGTCTATCCCTTGAAGTCTGGTCAACCTACCAGGTGTTACACTCCTGAGGCAAACTGACTCTCCCTCTCCCAGAAGCTATCAGTTATCAATAATCTTCAGCTAGGGCTGGGGCTTCTTGCCTACCTCCCACATCCATCCTGGGTTTTTGACTGACTTGGGCTTGCACAGGTCTTTTGCATGCTGTCACAAGCACTTGTGGGTTCATATGTGCTACTATCCTGCGTGTCCAGGCAACAGGGTTTTCTTGTATTCATCCACCACTTCTGGCTCTTAGAATCTCTCTGCCCCCTCTTCCATAATGATCCCTGAGTCTTGGGAGGAGAGGGTGTGATATAGGTGTCCCAATTAGGCCTAAGCACCCTGCAGTCTCTTATTCTTTGTACTTTGAGCAACCATGGGCTTCTGTGTTAACTACAAGAAGCTTTTCTGGTGAGAGTTGAGAGAGATGCCTTAATCAATGGGTATAAAAATAAGTCAGTAGGAGTCAGTTTAATATTATGTCTCTTTAGCAGAATAATGCTAGTAGGCTCTCCCCTACAGCCTGTGACCTGTCTAGTCACAGGTTCTTAGCCCTGATAACAGTGTCAGATATGAGCTCCATCTTGTGAAGTGGACCTATGCCAGGAATGGACTCCCTCTTTAGGAGTTGTTGACCAGAGATAACATATAGACCCTCAAACATTATTGACTATTGCCATTGCTTTTGGTTACATGCCAGAATTTGACAGTAAGACCCTATTGCTGAAGACACTACATACATGAGTCATAGAACAAGCAGACACCAAGTTGGTACAGACCTCAAAACTTCATTTCTATTGCTAGCTTTTATAGTGACATGCATGCTACCGGAAGAGAAAGGTAATCATTAACCTTACTCAGATGTGAATCCGTTGAGCTGCAATAAAGACTAGCCTGCCAAAATGTGCCCACTGGTGCAACAGTGGCATGAATGCTATGGGAGTAAAGTAACCAATCATCTTTTAACTTTTTGACAGGTTTAGAAAAAAAAACAAAATTAGGGGCTAAGGCAATGGCTCAGCCTTGCCTGCTCCAGAAGCTTAAGGGCCAGTGTTTGGATCTTCAGTATCCACATAAATTCTGGGCAGGCATGAGAACCCACCAGTAATCCAAGGGCTAAGGAAGCAGAGCCAGGGGGTCCCTTGGGCAACCTGGCTGGCTATAGACTAGCCTAGTCAATGATTTCTGGGTTCAAATGAGAGTCCCTGTTTCACTAAATAAGGTATAGTGCAATGGAGGATGACTCCTGATGTCAACCTCTGCCCTCCACACACACCCTTGAGCATGTACACGTGTGCTCACACATGTGAAAATACATGTACAACACACAAACCACACACGTACACAAATATTTTTATTTTTATTTTATGTGTATGAGTGTATTGCCTGCATGTATGTAAGTGCACCTGTGTTGTGTAATGTCCGAGGAGGTCAGAAGAGAGTTTTAGATTCCCCCAGAACTGGGGTTATCGACAGTCGTTAGATTCCATGTGGGTACTGGGATCTGAACCTGGGCCCTCTGCAAGAGCAGCTAGTGCGCTTAACCGCTAAGCCATCTCTCCAGCCTTAAAAATATTTTTAAAGCATGACTGTAGGGGCTGGAGGGATGGCTCAGCAGATGAGTTCGGATCGCAGCATCCACTTCCATCCCCTCAGACCGCCTGTAACTTCAGCGAAAAGTAATCCGACGCCCTCTTCTGGCCAACAGAGGCACCTGCAGAGACAGGTGCACTTACACAGAAAGGGGGTGGGGGAGTAGAAGAGAGAATAAAAATCAATCTTTTTTTAAAAGTTATTATTTAAAGCACGACTACTGATTACCTTATCAGACTGATATAATTTGGTTAGGTTAGGCTTGGTTAGGTGCGAGGTTGGTTAAGAGCTCACTAACTTTATATATGCATGCATGCATGTATGTGTGTATGTATTTTGTCTTGTTTTTGTTTGTTTGTTTGTTTAGACAAGGTTGCACTGTAGCCCCAGCTGGCCTGGGACTAGCTATGTAGACCAGGCTGGCCTCGAACTCACAAAGATCCTCCTGCCTCTGCCTCCCGAGTTCTGGGATTAAAGGCGTGCGCCACTACGTCCTACAGCTCACTAACTTTAACTGCTCTAAAATTTAAAAAGAAAAACAAATCACTTCCATTCCTTTCCTCTTTCCCTTGTTGCCAAGCCTTCCTTCCAGGAGGCGAAGCTACCGGGACAGCTTGGGTCCCTCCGCGCTCTCCGTACTGGGTGGCTCCTCATTGGTTGGATGCGCAGCCCGCCTGGCGTTCTTCCGGGACCGCACGTTCGGTGTGGGTTCAGAGCCGAGGAGGGCTGACGGGGTCGAGCCCTTGGCAGCGATGGCCCTGAAGCCGCTGCGCGTGTGAGTGACCTTGAGTCCCGAAACTGGGCGGGAGGCCGCGTCTTCCTCTTGGCCGGAAAGGGAAGCGGAGGGCGGCCGCTGAGCTGCAGAGGGCTCCGGTGGAGGCTGCCTGCTTGGTCTTTTCCCGGCCGTTTGCGCCTACCCTTCTGCCTGGCCTCCTCCATCTTAGGCCTGCCCAGCCAATGACGCATCATCTCCGGTTCTTTTCTCCCCTCTTTCCACCTATTGATTAACCAAATACGTGCGGACGTTGCGTGCCTTGTGGGCACTGGCAGACAGGGTAGTGCCCTGCCAGGGCGCACTTTGTTAATGGTGGAGCGGTCGGGTGGTGAAGTCAGGCTTCCTTCATTCAAAGAGTACTTGAGCAACAGCAGTGTATCCTGCAGTGTATCCTCCTCTAACGTAGTTGATAGCCTAGAGGAACAAGTGTTAAAGAACAGGTGTTGAAGAATGCAGGAAAAGCCGGGCGTGGTAGTGCACGCCTTTAATCCCAGAACTCGGGAGGCAGAGGCAGGTGGGTCTCTGAATTCGAGTCCAGCCTGGTCTGCGTAGCGGGTTCCAGGCCATCTGGGGCTACAGGGAGACCCTATCTTAAAAAGACAAATTTGAAAAAAAGAATGCGGAAAATGTAGAGAAGAAAAGGTTGACGGTTCTGGAGGATGTATGATAATGGCAATTGGCTTAATGAAAGGGAATTTGGTCCTGGTAAATATTTTTGTCTTTAACCTAGAGAAGTCATTGAAATGTTTAAGAACACCTTGGCATGGTCCAATTTTCGTTTTGGAAAGTGATTCTACCTGCAAGGTAGGGGCAATTCAGAGCCAAAGTTGAGGACCTGAGGGCCAAGGGAGGTTCAGTAGTTGATGGGTTATTAAGCAGGTGTAGTCACTCTGGTGATGGTTTGGTTGTGAGGCGTTCCCACTACAGGGTCAGCAATAACTGTCTTTAGTCACTGGGATAAGAAAACACTGGGAAAGGGCTCAAATCAGATAGTGAATTTTGAGGTGCTATGATACACAAACGACAATTGCCTCCCAGGAACAATTCCATGTGATAATAGAAGTGCAAGATCCGCGGGGCTTTAGGACTTAACCAGCAGGGATTAAAAAGATTCGTAGAGATGCTCAGAAAATAGATAAAAATTCTGAATAGTTACAACAGAGCTTGCTATGAAATGATATAAGGGCTTCTGAGATTTTATGAATGACTTTTGCAGATCATAAGGAAGGCACCAGAGATTTGATGGGTGGGGACAACTTCAAGGATGAGGACAGTGGGATTTAGAGAGAATCTTAGAGACTTGCAGAGGCAGAGTGATCAAATTGGCAGTTTGGGGAGATTTCAGGAGAACTTGAGAAAGCACAGGGAAGAGAGATCAGTGCCTCTGGAAAGTTGTTTCTGCAGACAGTGGGGGACCTCATAATGTTTTAGAGGAAGGGACATTAAACTGATGGCTTTATGGTGAATGGATAGAAAGAAAACATTAGAACTCTTCAGAAGTCTTTTCCTTGTATCGCAAGCCAGATAAATTCTATTTGATTCTGCCTCCGCCTTCCCATACACTCAGCTGTTTTTCTCCATTCCTACTTCTCCCTTATTTCGTACCCTACTTTCTCACTGTGTTCAAATTCTAAAATTTTCTTCTGTTTTCCTCTTACCTGTCTCCATTAATCAATGCTCTTTTTGTTTATATTTTTGATGGTAGTTACTTGTTCCTCCAGACCATCTTCCATGTTACTGAAACAGTCTTTAGGAAGCATGTAAGATAATATCACTACCCAGCTTGAAAATGTCTAGTAATACAGACAAGAACACCAGAGAGACATACTGACAAAACAGTAGGAGCTATAGTATTCTGCGTTGAGACATTAAGAAAATAAAGATTAAAGATCAGTGAGTTGGTCCAGCAGGTAAAGGCACTTGCTGTTGAGCTTGATGACCTGAGTTCAATCCCTGGGACCCACATGGAAGGAAAGAACCAAATCCTTTGGGTTTTTTGACCACATGCATACTGTGGCATGCACATGCCCATATGCACACACAATAAATGTAACAACAACAAAGGAAAACAGAAGTAAAAATGTGAATCGGACTTTTAAAACTCAGAAATTAGATGTTAGAACAAGTCACTTCACAACTTGGGGCTAGTCTACCCTACCAACCTCAGCTCTTGCCATCTTCTTCCTCTTGCTCCATTACACTTTATACCTTCCTCCCATCATAGCTTTTTCCATGTCAAGTTATAATGATTGGAGCTTCCCTTCCTTTAAACCCTTTGAGGCTTTAAATGAGCCTTCTCCTCTTTATACTTCTAACATGTTCTCAGCACAGTACTTGGGATATTGCCTTTTCCTAACAGAGTTCATTTTGTGTTTAAGAATGAACAACTGAAGCCATGCATTAAGACATAGGCAGTGGAAATAAGGATAAAATGAATATGATAAAAGGCTTAATTGCACTTGGAGACTAGATAGGAGAATGCTTGACTCTTAGTGACCATATTGGGAATAAACACATCTGCAAAACTTGGGAATGAGAAGGAACTGGCTCAATTTTAGAAGAAATGAAAAGTAGTATTTTAGATATGCTGATTTGGAGGTGTTGGTGAAATCTTCAGGTAGGCTGCCTGGTGGCCAGTAGTAGTTGATATGCACCAAAACTCAAGGTAACTGCGGACTCTGGATCACATCAATCTAATCCAGAAGACTAGTGCATACATACCAAACCTAGCAGATCCATTTGTGTTTCCTGAATTGATGTTTATCTCTTGTTTGCAGCTTGGCTTGTGGAGATGTTGAAGGGAAATTTGATACTTTATTCAATAGAGTTCGAGCAATTCAGAAGAAAAGTGGAAACTTTGATGTAAGATGATCCTTTTTATCAATTTTTATGACTATGTTCAAATATATTAAGATAAATTCCACCTCCTTTGTTAATTTCTTTATTGACTCCATTTTTTTGTTAGATTGAATTTCTTTTGGGAGCAGGCAGACTTAGCTAAGGAGTGATGGGAGAACCGTTTACTGTAGATTTCTTTATGCTGTCTGCATCTGAAGCTTGTTACTTTCTTACTGTACAAAAACCTGAAAACAAGCTAGGCAATTCTGATTCCTGGATTTGGTAAGCACAGATTTATTTTGTGAGTACATGGTGTGGATTAAATCAGACAACAGATGTACAAAAGCTTTGCAAAAGAAAGAATAAATGTTATGTGTGGATGCCAACTAGATTACAAACGCCTAGAATACAGACGGGTGTGCTATATATGGGGAGCATTTATTCATTGGATGAAGATAATAGGGAATGTGTGTGTTTTTTAAATGTCTTGTATTTCTGAAGGTTGTTAATATTTGTTTCATATTTCACAGGAATTCTTTAAATACTTATTTCTATATAACTGTGTATTCCAAGGAAGAAGAGTGGAAAAGAAGCACTTGAATTCTGGCTTCTTTCTAAAGTTCATTTCCTTCACTTCCCCTTCTCCAACTTGAATTTGACTGTTAGTGTGCCAACGTTTATAACCATAGAATCAGCAACTGATTAACTGTTCCTAAAGAATTGTGCACTGAAGTTCTATAAATTAATGAAGAATAAAAACCTGGTTTGAGACCATTAAATAGGATTAGTTAGCTGAATGTTACTGTCAGTAATGTAATGTTCGATTTTTTTTTTTGAAAAATCTCATATGTCTGTTTAAAAAACTCATTTTAGCTGCTGTTGTGTGTAGGAAATTTCTTTGGCTCCACCCAAAATGCTGAGTGGGAGGAATATAAGACTGGCGTCAAGAAAGGTATAGAAATGATTTAATGTATGGTTTTTAACAAAATTTCAGGGGTTACAATACTTTCTGGGTTGCTTTTTACATATCCTATGTTTAAGAATTCCTTCTTTCCCCTTGTGACAAATGCTTGTAGGCCTAGCACTTGAGAGGCTGAGGCAGGACGATTGTAAATTTAAGGCCAGATTGGGCTATATAGTTTGATGTTGTCTCAAAACATAAACGAAAAAATCAACAAAGAATGTCTCTCTCGAGCTCTGCCTTTGGCTGGAAAGAATTTGTATTCATAATCCACGTGTTCGTGTTCACATCTTGAATTTTGTTCAGTTTCATTCCAGAAAAATAATACTTGTTAATATGTTTAGTCTGTGTTTTCCTCATTATATATAATTGACCAATTTGCCTTAAGATGCAATTTCACTAGTCTAGTGATGTCATGTACTAGGCACTAGGTTGGGTTAGAGTATCCTTAGTGGTAAGCATGTTCCTTATTTATAGGATGGCTGTGGAAGGAATTCACAGGCTCTTTACTTCTGCTGTATTTTTCCTATGAGAAAGTATTTCTTAAATTCTAAAGCAGATCCATAACCATATGGTGTCACATCTATTTCCCTCATTAGCTCCTATTCAGACATACGTGCTTGGTGCCAATAACCAGGAAACAGTAAAATATTTCCAAGATGCTGATGGGTGTGAATTAGCTGAAAACATTACTTACCTGGGTAAGTTGATTTTTTTTTTTTTCAGTTTTAATGAATATACTAAAGGGTTTTCAGGAATTAATCCCAGAGAAAGTTTTGAATAAATTCCTCTGATGCTATTGCCTGAGAGAGTAAGAGTTTGGTTTGGTTTTTCCCTTTGGGGAGGACTTTTTCCCAAAGTCTTTGTCTCTGCTTTTAGGACAATGATAACTTTCTTTTTATTTGTACACATCTACAAACCTTGGGAATGAGAAGACTTTCCCTCAGTCTTTTTGTGTTCCTATAACCCTGCACATATCCTTTCAGATAAGTAGAGCCATAAACTCCCTGCCCACAGTATATGGAGTGCTTAAGGTACAAATTATGTTCAGATAAAGGAAATTCCATTTATGTTGTCTTACAAGTAGACCTTGCTGGCTCTATGTAATTTACTTGTTAATTAGGCTTCTAATTAGCTTAGCTCTAGGTTTTGAGCTAAACTTTTTGGCCACTCAGATTCTTAATGTTCATCTTTGGCTTTTCATTCCTTTTGTCTTTTTCCCACTGTCAGTCCACTTATCAATCCAGCTGTTCATAACCTTGTATGTTGCTGTTAGTGGTCAAGTTTTGCCTTTGTTCCCTCCTACCACCTGCTGTCACTTTACTGTCTCTTGAATCATTCAAGTATTTTTCTAAAATGGTTCCTTCACATTTGTTCTTTGTTGCTTTGTTTCCCTAGAAAGCATCTATATTTCCCTCATTTGAAATTCCCTTCATGACCCTTTGAGGTGTCTGTCTTGGCCTTTAGCTTCTATATGTGATTGTGGCCCTCATATGAGCAGTCTCATTGTGCTGCAATCATATGAGACTGCTTAAAGCAGAAAGTTGAGGGAAGGATGTTTTGTTTTAAAACTTATTGTTTATATTACCAGATTAAACTAAGATTGTTAGACATGTTCTAAGCATGTGTTCTGCCTCTGAGCTATATCCTCAGCCCCTGTGCTTATTACTTTTGTTTTCGTCTTTATTATTATTATTGTGTGTGGGTGTACATGGTGAGGCCTTTTTGCTATGGCGCATGTATGGTGATCAGAGCACAACTCTGGAGGCAGTTCTCTTCCACCTTTATGTGAGTTCCAGGGATTGAACTCAGGTGGAGGCTTGCAAGGCTAGCACCTTTTCCCACTGAACCATCTTTTCAGCCTTGCTTGTTGGTTTTTAATCACAGTTGTGAGATATTTTGAAATCTTTTTGTTACAGATCTTAACATGGGTCTGACTTAATCACAATCATCAGTGTGTTTTTACTATTTAGATTAAGAACACTAGTATAAGTATTTGACCATTTTACTAGGCAAATTCTACTGCGCCATGCCCTTCAACAGTGATCTTGATGGTGGTCTTGTTCATAATGCTCTGCCACTGCAAATGGTTTGATAGCTCTTTCTAGAGTATATCAATTAAGCTCTAGAGAGTTGGTACTGTAAAGGTGAAAAATACAGCTAGGAAGAGGTCAGGTAGTTAAAGAAGATACAGCGAGGGGAAGCAAGCAAGTAGTTGATCATACTTGGTGAGAGGATGCCATCTAGATGGAAGGCAGAAGGACTGGGTTCGTGGAGGACTGTTTGGAGTGTAAAGATAGTAGGTCTGTAAAGTCTGTGTGAGGGGAGCATAGGTTCAGGATAAGAGACCACTGACAGTTATAGCAACTGACCTGTAAGAGAGTGGTGGGAGAGAACCTAGACTGCAGAGGGCTCAGGAACTAAGTAAGAGTTAAGCAGCATGGTGGCACGCACCTGTAATCCTAGCACTCAGGAGGGGGAAGCAGATCAGGAGTTAATGGCCAACTTTAGCCATATGGCACTTCAAGGCTAGCCTAGACTGCATGAGGCCCTCTGTCAAAACCAAAAGAAAAAGAAAAAAACAAGCCCCAAGTGTTAAAACATGTTAAGACAGGATATTCTTCGGAAATTGGAAACCGAAGGTTGAAGTATCTTTGTTAGTGTGTGCTCCTTGTGAATGGTCTATCGAGAAGAAGCTAGTGACCAAGAGACTGTAAATGAAAGGGAGGTAAGAATTGACGGAACAGGGTCTAGGAGGCAACAGGAAAAAAAAGACATCAAAGCCACCAGCTGGGAGTAATTAAATGAGAGTAGGGTCTCTAATTTTCACAATTGCTCTTTCCTAATGTTTCCTTCACTTAGAAGCTATAGCTTTCCTGAAGAGCAAATCTTTTGTAGACTGAAGCTTTCTTAGAACTGCAGTTATTTTTTTTCTTCTCATTGCCTCTTAGTCTATGCAGAGTCTTTAAAAAGCAGCAAACCTTCTTAATCACCACCTCTCTATTTTTATCACTATTTCTAAGATATCTGGGATAAACAGACTGGCCCAATGGACACCAGCAGCCCTCATAAGATTTACTAAACCAGAATATCGTTAGAGCCAGGGAACCCGGATACCTAGCAGCCAGAGTATAGCCATAGGAGTGTATGCTCCTTGAGGCAGGTAGGAAGACTGAAGCAGGAGAATCATGGCATGGGAAGAGATTAAGTGCTGTATGAATGTCATTTTGTTCTGCAGTATTAACTAAAACTTGCCTATTTTTCTTTGAATGCAGGTCGTAAAGGCATCTTCACTGGAAGCTCGGGGCTGCAGATAGTGTACCTCAGTGGTACAGAGTCCCTAAATGAACCAGTCCCAGGTTACAGTTTTAGCCCCAAGGATGTGTCTTCTCTAAGAACAATGCTGTGTTCAGCATCCCAGTTTAAGGGTGTTGATATCTTCCTCACATCCCCATGGCCCAAGTATGTGGGAAACTTTGGGAATTCTTCTGTGAGTAGTGCTTGTTCAGTTGAAATTTCTAAAAGTAAATTACACTGGCTTAAGTTGGGCTTTTAAATTTTTTTTCTCTTTATTTTGAATATTTTAGTTCTTAGTACCTTTTACTAGGAATGTTTTGTGAAAATTTTCAGGATTCTAGAAGCTGCATCAACTGTCCAAACAGAAGCTGATTTCATAAAAATATGATTCACAGAGATTGCTGAAACGTTAATTATAAATGAGTGGTTCTTTAAATTGCATTCTCCTCAAGTAGATACTCATAGCTTCTTCTGTGTCTCATAGGTCTCTAATTTTCAGTGGAAAGATTTACAGCTCTTGCATTGCTATGGCTGTATTATATATATATTTTCTCCTTTCATTCTAAAATACTGCTTTTTAGTTATCAAAATAATCTTTAAAATTGGATCGTTGTGAGATTGACTCTGGAAATCTAAATTTTATATATATATATATAAATGTGTAGACCGGGCTAGCATCGATCTCACACGTATTTACCTGCCTATACCTCCCAAGTGCTGGGATTAAGGTAGTGTGTCATTATGTCATTAAAAGTCTTAATTTTTTTTTTTTTCATTTCATTACAGCTTTAACATATTCAGTAACACATTCCAGAGCAAGGATACATCTCCCTCAAAGGTGGCTGTAAATTTTTAGGTTTGCCGTTGAATTAATACAGTCATACAATAATGAACTCAGTATAAAGCCTGTAAGACATAAAATTGAATGAGTTTTTACCCTTTAAAGAAGATCTCCATTTCATTTTAAAATATGCTGTTCCCTACATTTTTTTTTCAATAAAATGTATTTTTTTAAATTAGAAG